CGGCGAGCGGCGCTGCCGTAACTTGTGCTTAAGGAACTCGGTCGGTGTTGAGTAGACCCTTCGAATGACTTGCTACGTCGAGGCTGAATTTTCGAGACAGCCGTAATTCACACCGCTTGTTTGTAAGCTCTGCCTGGTTGCTGCTGTCTTTTATTTCCAGTTCGAATCTGCTGCTCAAATTTGGCTTCTCTGGGGAGCTGGTTCAAAGTCGCGCTGTGAAATATTACTTTTCCCGTTGCTCTCTCCCGTCGATGTTATTTGGCTTTAAAAAATGTGAGAACCTCCTTCATTGTGCTTTCAACCACCTGGAAACAGCCTTTTATATGCACTCCGTACCATTTCTCCATCTCCATTTTGTTACAACTATTCAAAAGAAATTTTCTTCCTGTTCTTCGTCTTAGTTTATTGATTTCTTTTCCACTTTGTTGTTCCCAAATGCATTTCAGAGTTGAATACGACTTGCATGACTGCTGATTTAAGACATAATAATGTATGTTTTAAATCAGATTTCTTCTTGTTTATGTTGATTTGCTAGAAAAGAAAATGATGCAATATGAGCTGTGGTTAACATCAGGTTAGGGGCTTTGGAGACTTTTGGTAGCTGGTGAGTGGCACTAGAGATTTAATTGAGGAGATTGGATGATTGTGTCAGAAATATTACATATTACAGATGAAACGCTACGGTGAACATTTGTATCAAGAAGACAAGCACACTTATCCTACTCATCCCTGCTTCATACCATTCATCAAAGCTGTGCACTGGCAAAAGTATAGTAGCTTTTAATGTCATTAGTATTAATTACATAGCTTGGTGCACATAATACTTGTCATTTTCAAAGTATTTCCATGCCTGTTATTAAAATACTTATGTGCCTTACTAACATATTGCATAAGGGATGCCATCCTGAATTTCACAGATGGATGACTGAGGGATGGTAAGAAGAGCCTTGACTTACTCTTGGTAAAAGCTTAATGCCAAGAGATGGGCTTGCAGCTGAGCAGAGGTGAGAGCTAGGGAATTTCTAGCTCCAGTGGTTTGTATTTAGGCCAGTGTATTAATAGCTTACAACATCATCTGCTTTGGGTAGTTCATGCGTGGTTCTAGGGAAGATAAACTGCACAGCACACTGTGAAGGTTATAACAGGTTGGATGCCTTTCAAGACCTAGAGTCCTTTGGCTTGTTTCATTTAAGTAATATTTGCCTATGCAAAAGCTTTCTGTCTTTGTATGTGCTTCTGAGCAAAGTTGAAGAACACAAGCTCCTCTACTTGTGCTCAGCAGGCTGAATCTGGACTAGAGCCAATCCAGAAATACAGCCAAGTTAGCTCAGTGCTTTGTTTGAGCTGCTGAGTTGTGCTGTGGAGCATTGAGATCGGAGCAGGTTTGCATCAAGCCTTTGAATATGGGCAGAGCTGTCTTCCAGTCAATGATGTAGCCTAAAAACTTCAATAATTCTTTTCTTTCTGAGACCATTTTTAACTGTCACGGGTGAACTATTTACTCCAAAATCTCTATGTAAGCTTTCTGCACTTTTACATGGATAGAGTTTCTTGGTTTAGAATAGCTAGTCTTTTCATAAACTTTAAACAGCATTAAAAATATTCTCATCCTTGTTCAGCAAGTGCTGGTATATTCAGTGATTGATTTATGTTGATGCATGTGTCAGGGCTGGGGTGGATACATTAGTAATGCTGTTCAATGATTAAAAGCATTTGATTATGTTCTCTACCTATACTGGGGACAGGGCTAATTTTTACAGTACCCTTAGGAAGCAAAATGTACTGCTGCTGATGCTGAGCTCACTGCAGATTACTGTGTGCTGGACATTATCAATCTGAAGCTGTAAGGATTGCCAAGTAGAAGAAGCCTCTCGCATATGAGACTGAACGTTGATTTTTTTTTTCCCCTGGGCAATCTTACTTGAAGGAGCCAGTCCAATCACCTGGCCCTGTTGGATAAGAATTGTAACTGGTTAGTTGTTACCATGAAAGGTATCTTTCCTGGAAGGAAATTCATTACCTTTTTCTCTTGATTTTTTTTAAAGGAGCTCTGCTGACGGTGGAGCATGTGAAGAATTATGTTAATATTTCAGTGGAAGAAGGCAAAGAAACCATCCTCCGTGTGTCCGAGTAAGTGACTTTGCATCTCTCCTTCTAGCTTTGGGTCAGCAGTTTTAAAAATCACATGGTTCTAACATTGACAATAACCTTTATGGGTAGGAGGAAGAGGAAAAAATACAGTTTTATTCATCCCTGCATTACTGATGTCTCTTTGTAGCACAGGCAAAACATTTACAATATATTCTAATTAGATCTATATGGGAAAAGTTCTTGTATTCTTATTTGCATACACCTATGTATGATCATTTATTCTGTACCAGTCACTTTACTGTTTAGGCCTTTTTGTGGTACCATGGATTATCAAAAGCAAGGCCATTTTATATTAGACAGGATTGGTATACAAAATTCCTTGGGCTTGTAAGTGAGTGGTGGACTGAAATTTAAATGTTTATATGACATTATTTTAGGCTTATTGCTGCATATATGAACCAAGGTATGATGTTACCTCAGAATAATGCTAATAGGTATCCAGTGTATCCATCTCCATCCTGTAGAAAGAATATTGGAAATTTTTGTAGGAATTGGTTGTCTGTCCTTCTGAAAATACTCTGCCATTGGAATGAATAGTTTCAGGTGTGGGGCATGAAGATGGTTTTTACAATCTGAGTAAGATCAAATACATATAAGAAATGCAGGACTAACACTCTTCTGGGAAGCTGCGTTGTCATCTTAGATTTCATATCAGTAAGACTCCTGGATATTATCAGAAGGGGATATTCTGCTATCTGAAGTACCACTGACATATCAGTGGAAATCTCTTGATGTCTAATATCTACAGTAAGGAGCATATTTGTACCTGTCAAGATTGCAATTGTAACTTAAAAGTTTATTAACACTATGATGTGTAGTTTTTGACTATTTACTGGTTTTTGAATTATCAGGAGAGAAAAATCTGTTCTTCACAGGCATACTGACAAATTCACATTTTGTGAGCTATTTCAGTAGAAGGTGCTGTTAAAGCCACCAATGGATCTTAAACTGGTATTTTCTGTGTCTGTAGAATGGTTATAAAAGCAGCATAGTATTTACATGTTGTGTTTCAGAGTTCCTTACTTGATCCTCATAAATTAACACTGA